AGCGAAGATCAGTCACATGCTTTCGCTTGATGAAACCGAAAGGAAAAGACGAGAATCTTTTCTGAATTTTTCTATCTGTAAGAAAGCTGCTGTTGCCTCAGGCATGTTTGAACACAATATAAAAGAACGTGAAGTTCAGCCGTTCGTCATTCACTGTTTGCACTCATTACTGAAGGTAAATACCTGGATTAAAGAAACTGAAAACAGCATAAAACAATTCATTTATCCAAAAAATCGTTAACTGTATGATTGATCGGTACCGCCACCTTGGCGAGTGCCTCACTCACAATGTGCTTCAATGCATAGAGGTCGGTTAGCTATGTGAGTACTTTTTGTCAAGTGCATCCACTGTAACGTTTACAACCAGAAGGCAAGGTTTTGATTCATTTTCTCCATCGCCAAGACTCATCTAATCCGCGTCGAGTTTGTAACTTTCTTCCCGGCTGTATTGTCGCAGTAGTGGATGACATTCGTGTCGCCAAGAAACTGCTTAACAAGCAGCACCGTTCAAAAACGCCGTCTGATGCCATGCATACTAGCCGCTGCGAACACCAACAATGATTATTGTGTCTTTACCAACATGACCACTAATGTATGAACGAAATGCTCTATCTCTCGTTAAAGAAATATTTATCACGTAATTATGGCATTGCTAAATTTTTCTTTGAACTCACTCGACCAAACGTTTTACTTCATGTTTTTGCTTCTTGATGCTCTTTTAAACGGTGGATGATGAGTTTTACACGGATCCTTAATCTGGGTCCAGAATGATTCAATTTTGACAGACACTTAAAATGCGTTTCACTCCAAGTATGCTTATTTAAAAGCGAGAAAACCTGAATTTCCGGCCTATGAACGTCCTAATGTGTTCAGCCCTTTAGAAAATTTATCAGTTTGTTTTACTACGGTGATCCATTGAGATGGGTGTAATGTCAAGTGATGAGTAGAAATTGACTGGCTGTAAATAATATCGTTGCCGTCGCTTGTTCTTCTTGCATATTTGAATTCGCTCTTAGTTATTGGTCATTATAACAACGGGATATGCATAACAGATGCAGCGGCTTCCAAAGCTATAGGTGATAGCCAGCTTTCAAATTATTAAAAACCGATCTATCTTCAGCCGGCCATCTGTCGTGATCACAACAAGGTTGGACTCCACATTTTGTCATATCAAACGATGCACCACTAACCGATGGAAACGGAGTTGCTATTTATAACATGTGCAGGTGTTTATGCTGAAGAACTGTCAATATTTTCTTCATCTATACCCCCTTGCCGGCAAAATCGAGATGATCGATCATTCTCCTCGAATGCGTATGCTTGAAGAACTCAGGTCATTAATCTGAGTTCCTAGTCTTCAGAATGCTGTGTTCCACAAGACGGATCTATTCGAAACTTTGTAGTGTTCCCTAGCAGTAAAAATGCGATTATTATTACTTGCCTACTCTTACATGAAGCAGGTAGGTAGCACTTTGTAACTGTCCGTTTCGACCACTTGCCAGCTTTAGATTACTCCTCTTCATCAATGACCGAAATTCTTTGGGATAATATCAGATTGTTCAGTTGACCAGTTGCTGCTTATCAACGTTTCCAAAATTAACAGGAACCTAACTGATAAGTTGGCTCATTTAAGTTGTTTTTGTGACTAATCTGGCTCTTTCATGAGCAAACATTTTTAAAGCATATTTTTAATTTTTGCCAGACTTTATTAGCCCAATTTAATCTATCTCTCAGACATTCTCAGCATGTTTCTTAGTAATGATCCTTCTTGAAAAGTTAGTTGATCGATTGTTTAAACATACACAGAAACGGAGAGATGATAATTTAAGATAATTGTACCTAATTTACCGTCACGTAGACGTTCACTTTACGTTACATTAGTAAATGTTTTGAGATACTGATCTATTATAAAGCCGACGTATGAACGTATTACTCTCTTCGAACTGCCTGTAACTGACCACTTATTGAATATGACCGACCTTTAATTCGAAAATATCAAATACTTCTGTCATACTAATCGCTGCTG